GCCTGCCCAAAGTGTTTATCCCACAGCCTACTAAAAGTAGTTACTCTATAACCTACTAGAAAATAACTACAGTACTTGATATTAACTCCATTCGGGCAGGCGTTTTTATCCATTTTTTCCACTTCTGTATATTCTATTTTTTGAAGTGGAAGTGAAAGTCACTCAGTTATGTCCGACTCTTTGCAACCCCATGGACTATACAGTCCATGGAATTCTCCAGGCCAGAATTCTGAAGTCGGTAGCCATTCCCTTCTCCAGGGGATCTTCCCAATCCAAGGATTGAACCCAGTTCTCCTGCATTGCAGGCAGATTCTTTACCAGCTCAGCCACAAGGGAAGCCAAATTTTCTATACATAGAACAATACCTGGCATTCAATATATGTTTATAGAGTAAATAAATTGGATGAATGGTGGAAAAAAAGAATCTATCTTTAGGTCACCTCCTCTGATTTCCTGGGCTCTGTACACAATCCATGCCACCTGCCTTCCTGACTTTCTTTTATACATAAGGGCTTCCTTCCAACGTGGTATTCCCAGGGGCACAGAGGGGCCTCTTTCAACCCAATCTTTCAAGGCTTCTTTAACTGTTCTAGCCCTCCTACGGCTGGATGGAGGATGAGTAGTTTGCAAACTTACCAGAGACTGTCTTTACTTTGAATAGCAAAGCTTTGTTAGCAACAAAAGTTAGCTGCAAGAAGGGTCTACAAGGAACAATAAGTTAGTCAACTGACCAACTCAAATACAAAAGAACCCTCACATGTGTAGCTGAAATCTTCCTACTATTAACTGACAAATAATAGTGTTTTGATGGGCATTTATTTTTATTGGCTAGTAAACTATAATGCAGTGTGAACTTAATATCTCTACAGCATTTGTAAGTTCCCATGTTATCCCAGTGGGCAAGATAGTAAAATGTGGATTAGTCAATATAGTGAGAGGACTTGGTGCTGGAAAACCTATATTCAAATTGTGTTGGTGACTGGTCCTTTGTCAGCCTAAGAGAGTAGCATCGAGTTCTAGTCTTGGTCCTTAATGGGTTTAACCAATAACTTTACCTCTATTCTTACTGAAGGTCCTGGTTGGAGGTCCAATCTAGACCTTCTAGGGTCACTCTGGGCTAAAAGTAAATTAGAATCACAATGAAAGGGTGACATTCAGAGTTTGACAATTTCCCCAAATACCTGTCCCAATAAGATGGCTGCTTTTCTGGCTCATATGATTTCTCTAAAGTAGATGAACATTCTATAGACTTATATGTTGCATTCCTAAGCCAGTCTCTTATAGTCCACATTGTCTGTTTATTTTTCCTCTACATCTCTCAAAAATACTTGACCAGCCTCTCATAATAGGAAATGGAAACAGTTCCAATTGTGAGAAGTCTTCCGTATTAACAATTCTCTACTTTCCCCTCTGCAACTTTCACCCAACTCCTGGCTTTGTGCTCTAAATCCACACAAAGAAAGCTGATCTCTTTTTCTCTCAAAAGTTCACTAAACAAGTCAGGTACTTCTTGTGGCCCTTCCCATCCCTCCCCTCTCTCTTATCTGAGTCTACTAAATCTTAGGACTCATAAGGTAATTCAGAGAAGAAAGTAAGGATGAAACATGGGACACTAGTGGTCCAAATTTTTAAATTAGATGTGATGTCAATTTCTAGGTATAGGGGGCTCATTTAAGAAATTCATACACCACCACAGATGCCAGCACATACCACAAACACCAAATTATACCACAGATGCCAAAACAAAAGTAATGTTTACCTAATAGAGGTGTCAAAATCATCTGTTCAAACTATTCTTGGAATCACAAAATTTTAAAGCTATTCATTTCACCCATTCACTTCACAGATGATAAAACTGAGATCCAAAAGAGTTATGTAAATAGCCCAAGGTAGAGGGGGAGCAATATTCAAAGTATTGCAGGCCCTTTTGGCCATCTCCCAAACAACAAATTATGATCCTACAATGTACTGAATGTCATTTTCTCCAAACTCTTCATGTCTTAATAATGGCAGCTCATTAACTTCCTAGGAAGCTAAATTTACATTGCTATTAGTACAAAAATGACATATTTCAGAACTAGAAAAAAATCCCCTAAAGGATATTGAGCCTTCTTACAAGGAACAAGAAAACCGATGACCAAGGAGGCCTGGATTTGTTGGAGGAAACGCTGAGATTTAGTGGTACGGGCAAAAATGGTGCCCAGGTCTTTTGATGACAACCTAGAACTTTTTAGTATTCCACACAAAGAATTAGCTAAACACCATCAATATTACAAAGCTGAGATCATTTTAATCTAAACTTGTGTTTATGATGAGAAAACTGTAATTCTTTAACTAGTACACAAGTTCCATCTCATGGAAGTGGCTAGGCTGGACAGCCATGTCAGAAAGATGTAGAAGGGAGTCCAAGTAATAGGTGGGAGGTTGGACTGACGTCTAAAGTCCCTTCAGCCTCTAGGATTATTGGATTCTGAATTTCCCTGGAGCTGAACGCCTCAGCTAGGCAGGGCGGATGAGGAGGTGGGGAATGTGCAGGTGTCCTCTGGGGCATCCTCTCTTGCCCTTGGATTGAATGAACTCTACCCTGCTGTTTCAGGCATTATTCCGTATCCAATTTACATGCAATCAAATACTCTAGGCATAGGAAGACTGTAAGGAAATGCAGCTCGGTTGTTCATTCCCAAAGACAGACTACACTGCTTAGCTTTCAAAACTGCCTTGCCTAAATGAGCATTCCATAACTGAGCCTCCACTTTGAGCTTTTACAGTTTGTTCATGTACTATGCTACTATCAGCATTAATTATGCAGCATCTTCATGAGGAGAAACCAGATTTGGATGTGAGGTAGGAGAGGAAAGAATAAAGCACAGTTTCCAAAAGAAGGTTATTGTATCTGCTCCCTGCTCCCCAAAGCACTGGAGTCCTTCCACCACAGACAGATTTCAGATGGCAGTCCCCAGCTGAGCTAGCCATGGGAAGGAGGAAGTTGACATGTTTGAGAAATGAGGAATACGCCAACTAACAAGACTCTGAGGCCAATATGTTATTAACTCCCTCATTTCTATGTAATTCCATTCCAAACCAGAATTCAACACGAATCTGCTTCTTTGCTTTCTGAATGGCTACTAAAAATTTATATGTACTGATTTTAGACATCTTCTCTTTTCTTTTGCAATAATAAGTTCAAGGGAAGAACGAAGGTTTGTTTTTTGTTTTTTGTTTTTTTTTTTTCATCTCAGAGAAAAAGAATTTATCATAGGGGTCAAGCTCTGACAGCTACAAGAAAGCTTCAGCAATAGGACTGTCACACTGAATGAAATTACAAAAAGAAATAAATAAATAAATTCAAAGGATCCAACACGCATGGGAGCCAGGTATCGCCTAGACTTCAGAAGAGCAACTGATGTTCTACAACTCAGTGTCAAACAAGAAAACAACAACAAAACAGCCTAACGAGGTATCAAAATCTCAGAGAGTGATTCTGTACAGACTCCGTGTGCAAATACAAAAGCTCTACTTTAAAAGGCTCGGGCAGGTTTTCCACTCTGCTTGCCCTGAACTGAGTGTGGTGTGCCCGGTCATCTGGAGGAAGGCTGCAAAACGGTGGATGTCCTAGCTGCAGTCAGCAGCCTCCACCAGGCATTACTGTCGTCCGAGGGCTAACCCAAAGGAAATCCGCGCTTCGAGGCTTAGAGAAAGGTTCCTCCGGCCTCCTGAGCTCCCCGTCAGCCTGTCAGGCTGACACGACCACAGCAGTCCCGTCTGCTACCAACATTAAAGCAGTACAAGAATAAAGCCCTTTCCTCCTCTCCTGAGATTTGCGCCACTTTTCTTCCAAACGTATTTCTAAAAGGAAAACACAACTTGAGGGAAGGAGCCCAACTGGGCAAGGTCGGGTCTTTTGGACGGTTCCCTTCCTCACCAGCGGCAATCGACACACGCATTCCAAGTCGGGAAGGTGTACAAAGAGAGCGAAGGACGAGAGAGGAGAGGAGAAGAGGGGGTGGAAGAAGGTCGAGGAAGGAAAGGAGACAGAGGCGAAGGGCTGAAGGGACTTGAGAGAAGAGGGGGAAAGGAAGAGGATGAAGAGGAAAGAAGAGTCGGAGAAAGAAGAGCGAGAGAGAAGGGAGGGACGGGAGAAAGAAAGGGATAGGGATAAAGAAAGGAGGCGGCAGGGAAGACGAAAGAGTGTGCCAGGGACGCGGCGGGGAGGCGGCCGTGGGGACTGGCGCCCCTGGGGAGCCACGAGCTGCGCTCCACGAGCGGGCGCCTGGGGCGCAGGGCGCGCCTGGCGCTCACCTTTCAGGATGAGGGTGTCGATGTCCCGGTCGATGCCAAGGAAGTAGCACTTCCTCCAGAGGCCCGAGTAGGTGGCGAAGAGCGGCCGGCCGCACTCGGCGTCCAGCCCGCCGAGCCCCAGCAGCGAGCGCCAGGACTCGGGGTCGGCGCGCCCTGGGCCGCCCGGGAGCAGCCGGCGCCCCAGTGGGGGCGAGTCCCGCAGCGGCAGGTGCGACAGCGGCATCAGGCGGTTCTTCTGGTCCGGGGGGTCGGCGCCCGCGCGGCTGCGCTCGCAGCTCTCCTTATGGCGCCGGGGGTCTGTCTCGTACCAGTGGTCGGTGAAGATGGCCGTGACCAGCAGCCCCAGGGAGCAGAGGCTGAGGCCGAGGCTGAGCGCCGTGACGAGCGCCCGCGGCTCCATGGCTGTTCGCCCCTCCGCCGGTGGGCCCGCGCGCGCCGCCAGACACAATGCACTTGGCCTCGCTCGCTTCGCTGTCTCTCTCTCCCGCGCTCCCCCACCTGCCCCCTGCCGCCCGCGGCCTCCGGCTCCCGGCCCGGCGCGCTCCCTCCTCGGCTCCCTCCGACCGCGCGCCCGCCTCCTCCCGGGCCGCCGCTCCGCGCCACCCGGAGCCTCGAGCACTTTCTCGCTCCCCCCAACCCCGCTTCCACCGCCGCTCCCGCAGCCCCTTCCCCTCCCTCCTGGAGCCCCGCACGCTGCTCACCCCTAGCTGTCCACCGATCCTTCCGCCCTGCCCTCCCTCGATTCTTCTTCCCTTTCGAATCCCTCTCCTCGAAAACCCTCACTTTTCCCTTGTCTCCTCCTCGCTCCCCTTCACCCAGTCCCGACTTTGCCCCTACTTTTCTTCAACTCGTCCTCCCTCTTTTTCGTCCCTGTCTCCCCGCTCTCGTCCCTTTCTGTCCCTGCCCTGGACGCGACGCTTCTCCCCAGCTAGCCAGGAGCGCTCAGCCGTCCTCTCCCCTCGACGACCTGAAAAGACATCCACCCACATCAGACTCAGTCTTGTCACTTGTCCAAGTTGATGTTGATCAGTGTCCCGTTTTGTAACCAGAAGCAAATCCCATCTGGGTCGGGCTGCGCGGTGATACTTAAACTCAGGAATCTCGATCTGGAGCCGGAGCCGAAGACCCTTTCTCCCTCCACTGAAGAACCCAGCCTCTCAGACCCCTGGGCGGTTCCATCACCCTGTCATGCCCCGCTTTCCCTCTCCCTCGCCCAGGGCAACCTCTCAGCGCTCTCTCCGCTCCAGACCCTCTTCTGAAAGAAAAGGCACCGAGTGTCACTAGAGCGATGGACCAGTGGTCAGAGATTTTTCTCCCACCCCAGCCTGCTCAGAGATGGACTTCTTTTTCGTTGGACCACCTCCATCTCCCGCTGGAATGACGGCCTCCTGGAATTTCTACAAGTGTATAGTGATCAATAAGCCCTTGCAATGGCACCTGGTCTGTGAGGCGAGTCCTTAAATAAAGAAAGTCCTTAGTAATAAATCAAGGGGATGATTTTTTATTTTTCCTCCTGTGCAACTTACATGGGCTGAGAGGGTCAACAGCATAGCAATACTACACATTAAAGTCAACATCTCAGCTTGCTTCTGTTTTCTAGGGCACTCGGAGGTAGTAATTGAGAATGGCAGGCAGATTCACATTTTCTAAAATGAGGAAACCTTAGGACTCAGGGTCCTGAAAGAGTTAATCGCTGTGTTGTGTGGAATCTGATGATAGAGGAGCAATACCCTCCCGCCACTTAATGCCCAGGGGGCCACATCACAGACAGAAAACCATGCTGCGGGAGCCCAGGGATACAAATTCTTGTGTTCTTTTGCTATATTAATGATCAAAAGATGATGAGGCATTCATTAGATGCTAAATGTCATTACTCCACGATTTAATGGGACTTATTAATTAGTGCCCCACATCAGTTGGTATGAATATGATTTATATGTTTCCTCTGAAATGACATCTGTAAAGGTGGTATAAGAATCTTTCTGGGATTTATTTTCATTGCTGTTTGTACTCAGCATCTTCAGAGGGTATATTGCCCATGAAGACCGTGTACCTCCCTTCACAGATAGATCACTGGAGCAAATCTTTCAGTCATATTGGGCACCCCCTGCCTGTTTCTGCTGACCTGACAATATGAATTATTACTTGGATTTTCTTAGCAAGATCTATGGTGAGCTTCAGTCTAATTAAGGAAGACAAACAATTATAATTTTAGTGTTCCTCTCACCTATAAGCTTTTCCTTAACAGGAAACGCTAAGCTCATCAAAGGAGTCTTATCTGGATTTACACAAAAAAAATGATAAGACTTAGAAGCTTGCTTTTATTTATACTCTATAATATGTGTAAAATCCCCGATCTTTATGGATACACAGAATATCTTTCACTGTGAACCCACAGCTGATATCTGAAACTCACTCTAGTTGTCATATGCCCTTTTTATTTTTTGAAAATGCCTCTTGAGATCAAGATATTACAAACCTTGCAAGTCCCAAGGATAGTCAAACCTTAAGCAACTCTTCTCTCCCTTTACAAATCCTGATGTACTCCAACAAATAAATATTCTGCCACATTTCAGAGTCACCTGATTATCTTCACACAATAACCATGTCCCCAACTGGAGCCAACAGAAGGAAAACTCTTTCTCACGCACTTCTGTTTAACTTAAAAGAAAATAATGTTCTGCTTCATTTTCCTAGCCAGAACCCTTTGATCATACCCTTCTCCGAAAACAGCATTATCCTTGAAGTTCATTTATGTCTATGTTTAAGACCAGTCTCAGCATATAATCCAAAGGTTACTATGTGATGGATTACCCTTGACAGTATTTCATAAAAAATGTCACACATTACAAATATGGGCCAGCAGCATGTAATGAGAGCACTGCTTCTGCTGGTGCAGCATTAACAGCATCAGCGGGAATGTGACATATGATGTGTACACAGGTTTCGCTACAGTAACTGAGTATCGCTCCATCTATGTTCTTAAAATTTCTCTTTTGGATATTTCCAACAATGAACTATCATCCACTAGGCCCACTCTGCTGGGGAAGTGGGAAATATAAAGATGAATCGATGTTCCCCATCCTCTGGATGCTCCCAGACTAGTAGTGAGAGAGACACATAGCTTTTTCTATGCCCTCTAGTATAGAAATCAGAACAAAGTGTGTGGTAATGTGGACAATGAAAAGACTAACTGCCTGGGGGAGTCAGGAAGGTTACTTAGAAGTAGTAACTTCTGAGTAAGTTCTCAAAGGATATGTTAAACTTTGCCAGGAGGACTATATCTGCATGAAAGATTTGGAGGCTTCCATATTTGAGGCCACTGTAAAAGAAGGATTTTTTCCTACATTTTTAAATCATAAAGTTGACATCTTCTAATTCCTGAACACAAGCTAAGTAGTTGCAGACCAGGAAAAGCCTACCCTACCCAGAAGCCTAAGCCAGAATACAGCCAATTTAGGAGAGCATTTAGCCTGGCAGGGAGTCAAAATGATGGGAGATCAAATATCCAACTGAAACACCAAGGCATGTCTTGGCTGTGGCAGTGCTGTGCCCATAGTGCTTGCAAACTTAGCTTGTTCTTCACCTGTCTTAAATTTCCCTTTGCCATCTCCAGATTTAACATTACCAGTATCTCCCTTGTAGAATAACAGTATCCTAAAATGACAGGGACAGAGCTAGAGAATTTCCACCTGGGCATCTCACTGTGTTGTGGAACTCAGTACACTCAAAGGTCAGTTCTTATGTTTCCCCTATGGCTCAACTGCCCCTCCTCACTTATCCCTCTTTCTGGTGTTGACAAATCAGGCGATATTTTAGAATTTTCTATCATACTCACTAAGTGGTAGGGATTCTTCTTTTGAAACAACTTTCTAGCCAATCTCTCCTCTACATTTCTACCTCTTGCTGTCAACTGTGCCTCATCATTCACATCTGGATTATCATTCCAGCTCCCTCCTTGGCTCCCATAATTCCAGAACATCTGGGTTCGTGGGCAGCTCTTCCTGAAGTTGTCCTGGACACTGTTGCCCAAATTATCTTCCTCCAGCATTGTCTTCATGACTTTCATTCTTCAGTGTCAAACTCTCCTTTCTAGGTTACAAAGAAACATCGTCTCTATTACTCTAGAGCCTTCTTTGTTACTGTCAACATTCCCATAGCATTTAAATATACCAACTGATGTGTTGGCCATCTTTAAATATTTAGAAAACAAAACACTTTTGCCTTCTCACACTTATCATAATATCTAGGTGCTTTATGACATTCATTGCATTTCTCTATATAGTCAGGAAGTTCTTAAATTTTCTTACAAAAATGTACATACACACAGGGAGAGAGAGATACCCAGTCATCACAGAGCTATGGCAGTGATTTATTGACATACCCATGCTAAGTTAACCATGCTATAACCATGAATATTCTAAAAGGCCCTTCTGTCTCAGTGCTGAGACCAAAAGTAATATCTTTCCTCATTTCAAACATTTCAATTCCACAGATTTTAAACTGTGAAGTTTAACCAAAACCACACACTGGCTTTCATAATGAGTAGGGGTTTATTCTTGATACTATCAGACATTTTTCCAGCATTTAATGTAAAGATAGAGTCAATATGTTGTTGATTTACAATATGTCATTTCTGTAAATAATTGAGGTATCTTACATTAATGTCATCATTCTAAACTGTTCCCCTGTAACAATTTTATTTTAATTCAATATTTATTGAGCACCCCCAGTGTAACTTATTTTGCCAGGTCGTACTGGATTATGCTGAAATGATGAAAATCATGGCCTGTGCCCTCAGGGGGCTTTAGGTTAGTAGACGAGGAGGAAGAGAGAAACGCAAGAGGCTATAAAGAGAGATGCTTGGACTGAGTGCTATCACAGAGGTGCAAACAATATTCAACACAGACAAATAGGGAAATCTGGCACAGACAGATCCATTTTCAGTGGGAAGAATATGGTTAAGCCAAGTGGAATACATGCTATCTCAGAGAGGCCTTGGAGGAAACAGGGTATTTTCTGTATATGTGTCAGTTGAGCCCAGGGCAAAGCCAAAAGTAAATTTTAGAAGCAGCACCTACTATGCTGCTCCTCTCTACCTACGCCACACATGCGGTAATTCATCTCGCCATTTTGTCACTAACTGGAAGCCTGGAACCAGAAAATACCACAAAGCCCCAAAATAGATGGTGCCTGATAAATTTCTCATTTCACTGACACACCACGGAATGTCACCATTCTTTTTCACATTCCTGGATTAAGCTGTTTCCTTTTTAGAGCCTTTAAGCACATATGGTGGGGGGAAAAAAAAAAACACGTTCAAAGAAACCCATAACCATGTTAAGTCCCACTCAGAGTGTGATGTTTTAGCAGATGGTGGCTCATTAATTGCCATACCTAACTGAATTCCCTGCTTTATCTGTGTGTATGGCTACTGGGTTTCTAAGTTGAGGGCTAGTTCAGCTCACTCAGGCCATATCTGACAACCAAGGCATAGATACCTAGTCTCTCTAGAGAGAGCAGCTAGAGATGCTGTCCAGGTGAACAAAAAAAGCTAGTGTCTCCAGGTGTCTCTCCTTTTTCTTTACCTCGAATCTCTTCTCTGAGTTTTACCCACCCAAAGGCACCAGGATGCGGGGAACACACAAGCACTAGAGTCAGACCACCTATAATTCCAGACCCGCTGCTTCTTACCCACTCATCCATAGCCAGTTACCTAACCTCGCCGAGCCACACAAGTTCTGAAAAACAGGGATATCAGCATCTACCTCAGGATTAATGAGTCATCGTTAACACAAGCTAAATGTTTCCTCCCACTCCTCCCTAAAACATGCTTCAGAAAACCCATAGCCTAATCATACTAAGCCCATATCACTTAAATGTCATGAATACTAATAATAGCCAAATGAGTTATTAATGACATATTTTTTTCATGTTATTATTCATCTTATTCTTGTAGGAGAGGCAATCTATCAATACTCTTCTCATTTGTTCAGTTAACATGTAGTGAGCACCTGTGGGCCAGGGAGAGAGCATTCCAAGGAGAGGGAACTGTCAGTGCAAAGGTCCTGAGGCATGAAAGGGCTTTGTGTCACTGTGGAACTTGAATGACACCCCTGTAGCTAAAAAGCAGTGAATGAGGCAGTGAGAGGTATGAGATTCAGTTGCAAAGTTAGTCAACTGCCAGTTCATACATAGCCTTGAAGGACATTCTATAGAGTTTGGATTTCAGTCAAAAGAAAATCTTTGGAGAGTTTCGAGGGGAGGGGCCCAGATTGATTTATATTTTATTTTAATTGTATTTATTATTATTTTGAAATTGGTGATCCATGGGCAATATTGGACCTATAGGTATATGTAATTAGTCCTTTTCTTCTTTCTTTTAAAAAAATATTTAGTAAATTCATTGGCTTGGCTGTGCTGGGTCTTAGTTTTGGC